GGGGGCAGGGCTGCCCAGGGCTGGGCTAGCAGGGGGTGGCGGGGCATCGGCAGAGCTGGGGGAAGGGGAGCTGCCCATGCTACCTGCTTGGCACAGTCCTCGCTGCTCCGTCTCAGCGCCTCCTGCAGTCCCAACTTCTCCTGTGTCGCCGCCTCCAGCTGCTCGCTCAGCTGCTGCAGGGACTCCTGGTGCCCCCTGGCCTGAGGGGGCCGAGGTCACAGGTCACTCTGTCCCAGCCAGATCCCCCCACCCCAGCTCCAGCAACCCTGCACAGCATCCTCCCATGTCCCCCAGGATCTCCGTGCCCCACAGCCCCAGCCGCCCTCCTCCCTGCTCCCCCCATGTCTGTCACCCCCCAGCCCACTCCCACCTCCCGGCCCCCCACCCTGCCCGCAGCTCCCCCACTGTGGTCTCACCTCCTGCTGCAATTGCGTCCACTCCCCATCAGGCACCAGCTGGAAGCCGGGGGGCGGCAGGTAGATGCTCTCGGGCACCAGGGTGCCGGTGGACAGCAGGGAGGCCGTGTCCTCGTGCTCCGGGCTGGGCCGGCGCCGGGGCCGGGGGGAGCCAGCGCTGGAGCTGGCGATGGAGATGATGGAGACGCTGTCGCAGCCGCGGGCGAAGGCCAGGCCCCCTCCCGGTTCCTCCTCGCCCTCCGGTCCGGAGCCTTCATCCCCCTCTCCCCCAGGGTGGGCAGGGGGCACCCGGCTGGGAGCCTCCGCGTCAGACAGCAGGGACTCCGACGAGCCGCAGAGCGACCCCTGGGGGGGGAAGGAGTCACAGGGCAGAGTGAGCCCCCCCACGCATTCAGAACCACCCCGGTCCACCCACATCGGGCACCCCTTCCCTCCCCCCAGCCCCCCTCCTGCATGGCTCGGCTCTCCACCACCCCGCTCCCCCCACACGGTTCCCCCCTCCGGGTCTCACCTCAGGCCCCCGCAACCCCTGGATCAGCCCCTCGGCCCGGGAGAGTTTGCTCTTGAGCTTGGCGATCTCCTCCTCCATGGGCAGCACGATGCTGCGCAGACGCTCGGAGTCCTCCTGCGCCTGGGCGGGGACAGGCTGAGCCAGGGACCCCCAGCATCCCCTGCCCCCCAACACCCCCTCTGCTCCCCCCAATACCCAGCAACCCCCATGCCACAGCCGCTCGGAGTCCTCCTGCGCCTGGGCGGGGACAGGCTGAGCCAGGGACCCCCAGCACCCCCTGCCCCTGCACCACAACCCCTGCCCCCCAGTACCCCCCGCCCTTCACCC